ATATTAGTATATATATATATATATATATATTAAAACAAATGACTGTATTATGATTGATGCAGACACACATTCTTTCGTGTGAAGTGAGGGATGTTAATGATATTAAACAGATCTTCATTGTCTTCAGGATCATGTGTGTCTGTTGTGTTCTCAAAGTGAATGTTTTACCGGTGTAAATGTGGGTGCATTTACAGTCTGTGTGTTTCATATGTTTTCCTGTAGAGCGTGGTAAAGGCCGACAGCGGCAGGCCATCCTGGGAGAACATCCGTCCTCATACAGTGATAACGGATACGGTCAGTCTCTCATCATGACACTGATTTAAACAAACAGCCAAAGCAGTATATTATAATACACCGTTTGATAGGTTTATTAAGGCCTGAAGTGTTAGATAACAGTCTGTGTGTGTGTGTGTGTGTGTGTGTGTGTGTGTGCAGGCTCTCACTGCCCCCTGCTGCCGCTGCCTGGTAATAACCGCTTCAAGCGCGGCTCTCATGATGCACCGGAGGTGGTGGCGTATCCGCTGCCCCAGACATCCTCATACATGAGCCACGCCTCCAGCTCCGTCGCCATGGTGAGCGGCCTGCATCCTGCCAAGATGAACTGCACTCGCATCTTCAACCTCTTCTGTCTCTATGGAAACATCGAGAAGGTAAGGCGAGTTCAGAGCAGATGACTGACATTCACTGCACAGTGAACATACTGTACTGATGTGCTGCAGTGTGAGTAGTGCTGTAGTGTGTGTACTAGTGTTACTCTAGTGTAATTGAGGTACTATCATTGTTTTTCATATTATCTGTTTTCATTTTAATTTGAAAGCTTTTTGTTTTTTTTGTCAGTTTTTATTTTTTATATTTTCCATTTAAGTTTAAGTATTTTTTTGTGTTTTTGTCATTTCTATTAGTTTTTATTTTTGTATTTTCCATTTTCTTTTTAATTTTAGTTAAAGAAATTTTGTTGTGTGTTTTTGCCATTTTTATAAGTTTTTATTTTTTTATGACTACATAGTTTTAATCATTTTTATTAGAAATGTTGATTTGGCCAATTGCTGAATTAAGTTATCTTTTTTTATATTTTATTTTATTTCAGTTAAAGTTTATTTTATTGCAAGTAATGAACTAATATAAAAATTTTGGGTGTTTGCACTTAAACATCTTTTGGGGACAAATTTGTACGCGAGTTTAATCTGACAAAACCTTTATTTGTAAAAACAGTATAGAAATAAAGTAAATAAGTTTTTTTAAAGTGTATAAATGCTAAAAGTTTTCTGTTAGGGTTATTGTGTGGATTAGGGTTAGATTAGAGTATTTATAAGCAGTGTTGGGGGTAAAGTACATGAGTTATGTAATCAGATTACTTTTTCAATTAACTAGTAAAGTAACACATTACTTTTTAAATTTACAACAAAATAGCAGAGTTTTTTATTATTAAAAAACCTAAATGTAATGTAATTGTAATGCATTACTCTTAAAAGTAACTTTCCCCAACACTGCTTATAACTAGCTGTGGTTAAAGTCTGTGGAAAGTCTCCATGATTAAATGTGTGTGTGTGCAGGTGAAGTTCATGAAGAGCGTCCCGGGCACAGCTCTAGTAGAGATGAGTGATGAGTACGCGGTCGACAGAGCCGTCACACACCTCAACAGCATTAAGGTGTTCAGCAAACGCCTCAACGTCTGGTGAGCACACACACACACACACACACACACACACACACAAGCAGCACGCTGTGATCCCCAGTCAGGTGTTTGAGCTGGAGGACGGCTCCAGCAGCTATAAGGACTTCGCTATGACTCGTAACAACCGCTTCACCAGCGCCGGCCAGGCGTCCAAGAACATCATCCAGCCGCCCTCCTGTGTGCTGCACTTCTACAACGTGCCGCCCTGCATCAGCGAGGACGACCTGCAGCGGGTGAGGCTCGGCCAATCAGACGCCAGCATCTGAGAGATTGACATGCATCTGCTCCTGTGTGCTGCTTTCACTCTCAGTAACGATTCACTAGCTAACATCAACTCACAATGAAAAATACTTCATGTTAATCTCAGCATTTACTAATACATGATTCAAAACTTAAAAGCTGTTAACATTATTTAATGCCGTGTAAACTAACTTGAACACTAAATTTAACAATGAATAAATACTGTAATGCTCATTATTAGTTCATGTTAGTTAATGCATTAATTAATGCTAATAAATGAGACCTTACTGTAAAGTGTTACCGTTATAGTTTTTATTAATATTTTGAATTAGGTTGTTTTTCTATTTTCTTTTTTTCAGAAAAAGCTAAAAACAAGGGTTATTATAGTTAACTAAAATTAAAAAAAATTCTGTTACTTAAAATGAAATAATTGTTAGCCGAAACATTGAGATGCTGTTATAGATTTTGTTCATATCTTGAATTAGTTTTTACATTTTCTGTTTTTTTTTGTTTTTGTCGTTTTTATTAGTTTTAAAAAATGTTAAATTTTTTTATTAATATATAATAGTTATGAATAGTTGATATAAATATGTAAATAGTTTTTTTTATTTTTTTATATTGAATTAGTTTTTATTTTTACATTTTCTGTTTTTGTCATTTTTATTAGTTTTTAAAAAGTTTTACATTTTTTTATTAATATATAATAGTTATGAATAGTTGATATAAATATGTAAATATTAAAAAAAAAAATGTTATTGTTTGTTATTTTAGTACATCAGGTTAAACAAAATGAGAAATGTTGCCTAGGCATCTAGCTGAAATAAAATAAGCTTGTTTTTATATATAATAATTAATAATTTATGCATTTAGCAGACGCTTTTATCCAAAGCGACTTACAGTGCATTCCGCAGGAACACTATATATATATATATATTTATTTTTCTCAGTTAATATTGCATTATTTCAAGTAATGCAAATGTTTTTATGGTTTTACTGTAGTTTTAGTGTAATTATTATAATAACCCTGTCATTAGCTTCAGTAATTGATGCTACTTTAAATTGTTCTGTCAGTTGTCAGTATTTTTGATTCTAAAATTGTAGTTTTAAAATCGTCTCTGAATTTCTTTATTAATTCTTTAAATGAATGGATCTCATTATCTGAAATGTTTGTTGCAAACCAATTTCCCAGAAGTGAGTTAAATCTGACAAAACCTCTGTTTGAGGACGTCAAACAAATGTTATAAAAGGAAGTAAATACAGTGTTTTTTCATTGTTAACATGCAGAACGTTTTCTGACAGATTATAGTATTTATAACTAGCTGAATATGTCAAATATAATAGCGGTCAGGTGAATGTGTGTGTGGTGTCTCACTAGCGTCCTCTGCTGGATTCTGTTGAATCGCACTCACGCTCGTCTGTTGTTTCGCAGTTATGCACAGAACACGACGTCCCAGGATTCATCAAATACAAGGTGTTTGACGCCAAACGTGAGTCTAGTTTCCAGCATTGACACTGAGCTGATGTGTGTTCAGTCGAGCTGCTTTGAGCTGATCATGTGTCTGTGTCTGGATCCGCAGCCAGCTCAAAGACCATCTCTGGCCTGCTGGAGTTCGACAGTAAGACTCACGCCGTGGAGGTTCTGACGGTCCTCAACCACTATCAGATCCGGATCCCCAGTGAGTGACCACGCTCCTGTCCAGCCACGCCGTCAGAGATATCAGACTTCACTGTGGTCGTCCAGAAAACATGATAAAACATTCTTGTGCACAGTCTTCAGTCTTCAGTCTGAACAGTTTTTTTAAATATCATGTCATCATCCTGTTCAAAAGCTCTCGATGCCTCGTGTTTTCTTCTGGAGCGCCGGTGCTGTTTAAAGCTTTTGTATTAGGTGCATCCGAGTCCCTCAGTTATTTTTTGTCTGATCTCTTATTTTGGTCAAATCATGAACATTTAGCAGATTCTGTAGTCGTTTGAGCGAGCGTTTGTTTCTGTGCTGACGGTAACGTGTTGATCATGTGTTCTTGTTGTGTTTCAGACGGTTCAAACCCGTACACACTGAAGCTGTGCTTCTCCACCTCCTCACACCTCTGAGCCGGAGCGACCGACACCATCGTCTTCATCTTCATCATCACCACCTCCCCTCAGACCCCACTCGCCCTCGGGTTTAGTGCTCTTTAGTTATTCATCTGTGATCTGATCAAACCAGGAAACACACACTCACACACTCACACACACACACACACACACACACACACACACACACACTCTCTCACACA